GCATAAACGTGCTACCAATTGACGTCTGCGGGAAGGTTTAGAGCTGAATAATTTTCACAAGTTTATTCTCTGACGGAGACTCAACGACCCAAAACTGATAGTGATTTTCCGAACACTGCTATTGGCACTGATTGATGATTCTTTGCTGTCATTTCGCTCCATGATTCAAAAATATTTCAATTTTGTGAACCTGTTTTACCCACCATCTCGGGATCTTAAAATAAATTCTATACCGTAGAAATATAGTGGCCCTGACCCTGCTGGTTCTTTCGGAATGGCGTGCTTTCACCATTGCACAGCGGTTGAAATTTTGCAGGTGATCAATGTAGTAGTCAGCTTGACGGAACGACTGCAGTGGAACGTCCGAAAGATAGTGAAGCTACTCAGAAAGCCTTCAATGTCCGCGTCATTCAGGGTCCTACTAAATTTGTAGTGACCATCTCCGTCGCTGCTGAAACTGCCATTTGGATCGAATCGAACAAACTGGTGTACTTGGGTATCTCCAGAGACAGCCTGCTCAGTTGGCTTTCCTCGCAGCCTCAGCATTACGCAGGTGATCATTGTAGTCAAACTCAGCTGTCGAACGTTCGAAGGATGTCATTGCCGTTAATAATACTTCTCATTCCGATGTCCGCGTCCACTTTCTGGGTCTTTCAAATTTTAGTTGTGACGACTGTCTCCACAGCTAATGGAATAGCAACTGATCACGTTCACTGAATTACAGTCTGTTTTATACCTGCAGAATAGCTAATTAGGCCCCTCCCTTTCGGAGTATTTTCCATCAGAGCGTTCCTAGTTGCAAGTATATGACAGAATTCACACCAGACCAAGATGTGCTCCAACCAGAATTGAATTGGATTGTTGTGAAAGAACAACTAGCGCTACTTGAATTTTTCACACCAGTGCAAGTCGATGTAGAGCGGATGACGGCGGCACAGTCATGCTGCCTATTGCGGAAAGCCTTTCCTCCGGTCGATGTGGATGCATTCGTCGTCGGCTTTGTATTGGTGCGATGCTTGCTGTTCCACTCATATCCGACCGTTGCTCGACAGCAAATGACGAAGAAAACGATTTGGCAAGCGTTTTTATTACCGCTGCTTTTCTCCTTCCTTCCATCCATTGGTGAAATGGTGAGCGGTCAACCGAGCGGTGAGCTCGCTCATGTGAGCATGCGCAATGTGTCGTGTGTTCGATTAGCGGTCAATCTTTACGTCCGTGTTTGGGATTTTTCGTTGAATGTCTGAATTTTGATTTTTTTTTAATGTGACCCCCAGTATAGAAATTAAAGACGTAGTCCTACGTAAAAAAAATACAACCAATATTTTTCAATACAAAATCCTAATTTTTTAATTACATGAATTTGATATTTTGCTCTTTACAATCAGCCCAGCGGTTCAAAAATTTAGAATTAAAAAAAAAAGTGCTTTTGGAAAGCATCGATTTTTTGGACCAGTGTGGGTGTATGAATCCATTTTGTTTTTCTTTAATTTTACAATTTTATTGTATTTCGGAATAATGGTTCCGAAGATATAAACAAAAATTCGATATTTTACGACGAAATGGAAATACTCATTCATTTTTCTCGGAAACCCGAACTGATTTGAGTGCAACTAGTTCCATTTTGTTTGTATACATCTATACATTTCATTACGTAAAGGGCTTTTCAGGGAAATAGGCACTTGGATGTAATGCCCTAAAGCCTTTCAAACCCATTTGAATCTAAAAATGAAAAGCCTTCACACCAAAGTCGGTAACATTTGACTGGATTACTTTCAAGTAAACAACCCAGTATTTTTTCCCTTTGATTTGTTTTCCATCGATCTTGTTTCTACGAACGCCAGGGAGAAATCTCCCACACCTATTGACCCATCAACTCATGGATCGGAGACCAAAGGTTTAACTTTCTTTCAGAAGGAAGGCGTGATCAGCGATTTAATGTCTCAGAAAATCCCGGCGGCGCCGACTGCGATTGAACCCAGGCTCTTTGGTGTGAGAGGCAATCATGCTGTAGTGGACACCATCATTGCCGCTAAGTAGGTTCTCAACGATTATAAATAGCTGATTAAAAGCTGGTTATGCCTAAGATAAGCTTACTCAGCTAAAAATAGCTTATTCGACTTTAAAACAGCTCAAATTGTTGGTTTGATTGATTTCAGATTGAAAATATCGTTGCTTTATAATGCTCATTTTAGCGGCAGCGGTGGTGTAGTGGTATGCGTGATAACCTCTCACCCCAGCAGCACTGAGATGTTTCTGAGGCATAACATCTCTGATCACAGGAAGTAAACCAGTTGGTCCTCGGTTCATGAGTTCATGGGTCGATAGGTAGGTTCCAGGAGTGGGAGCTGCCTTCTTGGCTTTCCAGTTGAAATGGAAAGGTTGCCGAAGACAAAGAGGGTGTCGACAATAGTCACACTCACCTGAGTAAATCTCTGGAAGCATTTCTGAAGTTCCGGGAAAGTTCAAAAACTGACGCGAGAAGACGAAGTAGAAGGTGACCTGCGGACCCTTCGTAGACTACGAGGCTGAGGAGCATGAAGTAGTTCACCTCCTCGAGGTGTGCCCTGGAAACGTTAAGTATCGAACCCAAGGGAGAGATATTGCGGCTAAACGAACTGCAACAGAGTAAGGACGCTGGAACCCCATCCAGCTCGTCCCAGGAGGTCGATAAGCCCTGCACAAACCCTCGTTCTTAGAGTGTAGACGACTCTGACCAAGTCGCAGCACACGCAGCTGGTATGCTGCCACGTCTGCTCTAGAATTCAGGCGAACAATTAACGGTGAACGATAAGAGGAAGGCCCTGCACAGCTGTACTCTGTGCAGTAGCGAGTGTCACGTGTGTAATACACCACTAGTGATGCGCCATAGCGCAACCGGCCCCCTCCCATGATGTAATGCTTTCGGGCGATTCCGGGGAGGGCAAGGGCCACGAGCGCAGGGTAAGGTTTAGTGGGTCGGGAGCGCTACTTCTCCCATCCCCACACCCTGAGTTATCTTCTCAGGTGTCTGGGAGCAGATTCCCCCCAGTATTAAAAAAAAGGCAACGTGGCTGACGAAGTGCGGCCATGGATCGAGTAGAGTGGAGACGACTGCTTCGGACAGCAGAGGACAACAAGGCTTTAGCCTGATTGTTAAGGTAAGGGAGAAGACGAAAGAACCTGGAAGTCGAAATGGATTTCCGGAAGGAATTGTGAAAGAACTTACAGGGTAAGGTGGATGAAAGTTCCTTAGGAAAGATGGAAGAAACATCGAATGGAAGATTAGAGAAATTCCAGGAAGTTGAAATATTAACATTTTGATGGATTTATTTGTTCACTGAATAAATGTATTTCCTGATTTCCAGGAATTACCGGGACGCGTCATCAGCTGTTTCTCGACCCCTTGGTAGCCGAAAAAGGCGAGGAAATGGAAACATTAGTCGAACGAGTATCAAGCATAAGACATTTTTGAAGATTTTTTTTTTAGAGTTGCCTTTAATATTTGAATTTTTCTGGGCAGGTGAGTAGCAATCATTTTGATTATAAAAATCGGTATGAATCGGTATTAAAACTCAAAAATCGGTATTCTGAGAAATCTTATCTGTACATCGGTATCAAGTTTTAAAATCGCTTTATCTGGCAACGCTGGCGCCAACATTGCTTAGATTTATCCTCTTATGTCATGCTAATCCCTATCAACTTTAGATATCAATAGTAAAGTTTTTACCCGGGTAAAGGCAATGACCTTTTATCTTGAGCTGTTGTTGAAAAAAATAACTACCACATATAATTTAAGAGAAGACCATGCTTAGCTGTGACTAATGCATACTATAGTGTTTTACTACACCGCCATCAAGAAGGCTCCAACAATCTGCTGAAATTGGAATACCATAGTTTACCAGCAATTCAGGACAATTAATCCAGCAAAGAACTGCCTGTTTTATGCTAAAAGCCTACTTCAAAACCGGCAGCAGCAGTAACATCCCCTTCCCGGGTGCGTTTGAAAAGAAAATGGCATTCAAATGAAGGGATTGATTGATGGTCGGATCGTAAAAAGAGCAAATTTGCTAGTAGTAATTTCCAGCCACAACCACCGGATAAGGGCTGGAACACTCTGGCCTGGTGTGTGGGAGCCGGCGCGCTGAGTACTTAGACATAATGGCACAGCTTGTTTTATTCGACACGCAAAGGGCCACCGCCAGCAAACGGCAATGGATGATAATGCTCCGATGATGGTGGAAAACAATCAACCCAAATGGCAGGTATTAAACGCTCCCGAGCACGCCACGGCCATTTGCTGGTTCTTCTATTTAGATTTGTTGTTGTTAAACCTAACGAGACTGAAAGAGTGCAAACTTGGAGAAATGAATGGTGGCGCTTCCTTATTGCCACTCTTGATGCCAAGTTATTCCATTACAGAGGGGAGACTTTGAGCATCGTCGGTTTCGTAGAAAAATAAATCGAATAAATAACCCCTCTCACAGTGTGAATCACTTAGATTGCGAGAGATCTTTTTTGGCAGGATTTCCGGTTCTTTTATGTCCTAAAGCTCCTCTGGTCTAGTCTTCAGAAAGCACTGACTGATAAGCTTTTTGACGACAGCGGAAAAGAACAAGACCATCAGAACCAAACGATCGTCTTTCACTAAAGCAACAAAACACGAGACACTTCAGGGGGTCTCAATGCCCTCTTTGGAACTGGAAAAGGCCATGCAGCTATAGAGACGCTGATGGTGGAAGAATTTTCACCGTGATTAATCTAGCTGTGAAAGTGGATTGACGGCAAGATTTCGAAAAAAAAAAGCAGCGCCCTTCAACCGTGAGATAACGTAGGAGAAAAATTGTTTCCTCCGCTGACAAGTGTTTTGTGTGCTTCACCTTCCGGGTGGATAAATTTGATGCTCGATCTTTTTTTTTTCTAATCTTTTCCTCCTTGTTACTCCTTTTCAGCTGTCAACGAGAAACGATTCGCTGTAAAATTTAATCGCTTTTTCTTCTGCTTCATCTTTCCTTTCCATGCAGAGCTCACCTGCGGCAACAATAGGGTAGACGATTATCAGAGTCAAAAAGGTAGATATGAGCTTTTTTTATGTGTTCTTATTGTTCACTTTGCCCCATTTGAGGACATTTTTTGAAGAGGTATTTGAGATCATGAATCATAATAGTTATTATAGGCTAGGTGGGGGAAAACAGGGTAATTCTTTACTGAGGGAGTTTAAGATTGTTCTGTTGTGGATAGTCATGTTACAGAAAGTCAGCTTTAGAACTACTAGGGTTATTACATATCATAATTTTAATTTATCGTCAGTTTCCACACAATTTTTCATCCTTTTTTCAAACATTTTGATTCCAAGTATATAATTAAGCTTGAAAAAAAAAATTGTTGTATTAAATATTATTCTAAGATAATTTACTTAAATAATTTCCGAGATAAACACCAATTAAAGCACACACTAAATGAAAAGTTTTGCAAGAATGGAACTGAATGATTGGAAATATTAAATTTAATTGATCCAAAGAAATTGCTGAAATTTATGGAACATTTCGTATTTTTTAGTAGCTCAATTGATATTTTTCATGAAAAGTTTCAGTACTTTTTAGGGAAAATTTAATCATTTTTTTTTATGTGTTTAATAACTATACTGCTTGTGTTTTATTTTTAGTTAGAGGACCAGAGCGACAGGCAGGAGTTCCAAAAGAAGTTTCTAAAAGAAGCTTCCAAAAGATTCTTCCAATGGAAGCTTCCAAAAGAAGCTTCCAAAAGAAGCTTCCGAAAGAAGCTTCCGAAAGTAACTTCCAAAAGAAGCTTCCAAAAGAAACTTCCTAAAGAAGCTTCCACTAGAACCTTCGAAAAGAAGATTTTAAAAGAAACTTCCAACAGAAGCTTCGATAAGTAGCTTCCAAATGAAACTTCCAAAATAAGCTTCCAAACGAAGCTTCCAAAAGAAGATTCCAAAAGAAGCTTCCAAAAGCAGCTACCCAAAAAAACTTCCAAAAGAAGCTTTCAAAAGAAGCTTCCAAAAGAAGCTTTCGAAAAAAGCTAGGATAAGAAGATTCCAAATCAAACTTCCGAAAGAAGCTTCCAAAGAATTTTCCGAAAGAAGCTTCCAAAAGATTCTTCCAATAGAAACTTCCAAAAGAAGGTTCCAAAAGAACCTTCCAAAAGAAGCTTCCAAAAGAAGCTTCCAAAACAAGCTTCCAAAAATCAAAAAAAAATCTTCCATAAGAAGTTCCCAAATGAAGCTTCCGAAAGAAGCTTCCAAAACAAGCTTCCAAAAGATGCTTCCAAAACAAGCTTACAATAGATGCTTCCAAAAGAAGCTTCCTAAAGAAGTTTCCAAAAAAAGCTTCCAAAAGAAACTTCCAAAAGAAGCTTCCGAAAGAACCTACCAAAAGAAGCTTCAATAAGAAGCTTTCAAAAGAAGCTTCCAAAAATCAAAAAAAAAAAACTTCTATAAGAAGTTTCCAAATGAAGCTTCCAAAAGAAGCTTCCGAAAGAAAATTTCCAAAAGAAGCTTCGATAAGAAGCTTCGATAAGAAGCTTCCAAAAGAAGCTTTCGAAAAAAGCTAGGATAAGAAGATAGCAAATTAAACTTCCGAAAGAAGCTTCCAAAGAATTTTCCGAAAGAAGCTTCCAAAAGATTCTTCCAATAGAAACTTCCAAAAGAAGGTTCCAAAAGAACCTTCCAAAAGAAGCTTCCAAAAGAAGCTTCCAAAACAAGCTTCCAAAAATCAAAAAAAAAAAAAAATCTTCCATAAGAAGTTCCCAAATGAAGCTTCCGAAAGAAGCTTCCAAAAGAAGCTTCCAAAACAAGCTTCCAAAAGATGCTTCCAAAACAAGCTTACAATAGATGCTTCCAAAAGAAGCTTCCTAAAGAAGTTTCCAAAAAAAAGCTTCCAAAAGAAACTTCCAAAAGAAGCTTCCGAAAGAAACTACCAAAAGAAGCTTCAATAAGAAGCTTTCAAAAGAAGCTTCCAAAAATCATAAAAAAAATCTTCCATAAGAAGTTTCCAAATGAAGCTTCCAAAAGAAGCTTCCGAAAAAAAATTTCCAAAAGAAGCTTCGTTAAGAAGCTTTGATAAGAAGCTTCGATAAGAAGCTTCCAAAAGAAGCGTCCAAAAAAAGCTTCGATAAGAAGCTTCCAAATGAAACTTCCAAAAAAAGCTTCCAAAAGAAGCTTGCAAAAGAAGCTTCCAAAAGATGCTTCCAAAAGAAGCTTGAAAAAGAAGCTTCTGAAAATTTTTTCCAAAAGAAGCTTCGAAAAGAAGATTTCAAAAGAAGCTTCGAAAAGAAGCTTCCAAAAGAAGCTTCCAAAACAAGCTTCCAAAAGATGCTTCCAAAACAAGCTTACAATAGATGCTTCCAAAAGAAGCTTCCTAAAGAAGTTTCCAAAAAAAAGCTTCCAAAAGAAACTTCCAAAAGAAGCTTCCGAAAGAAACTACCAAAAGAAGCTTCAATAAGAAGCTTTCAAAAGAAGCTTCCAAAAATCATAAAAAAAATCTTCCATAAGAAGTTTCCAAATGAAGCTTCCAAATGAAGCTTCCAAAAGAAGCTTCCGAAAAAAAATTTCCAAAAGAAGCTTCCAAAAGAAGCGTCCAAAAAAAGCTTCGATAAGAAGCTTCCAAATGAAACTTCCAAAAAAAGCTTCCAAAAGAAGCTTGCAAAAGAAGCTTCCAAAAGATGCTTCCAAAAGAAGCTTGAGAAAGAAGCTTCTGAAAAAATTTTCCAAAAGAAGCTTCGAAAAGAAGATTTCAAAAGAAGCTTCGAAAAGAAGCTTCCAAAAGAAGCTTTCGAAAAAAGCTAGGATAAGAAGATTCCAAATCAATTTTCCAAAAGAAGCTTCCAAAAGAAGTTTCCGAAAGAAACTTCCAAAAGAAGCTTCGATAAGAAGCTTTCAAAATAAGCTTCCAAACAAGATTCCAAACGAAGCATCTAAACAAGCTTCCAAAAGAAGTTTCCAAATCAAGCTTCCAAATCAAGCTTCCAAAAAAAGATTTCAAGAAATGCTTCCAAAAGAAACTTCCAAAAGAAGATTCCAGAAGAATATTCCAGAAGAAGCTTCCAAATAAAGATTCTAGAAAAAGGTTCCAAAAGAAGCTTTCAAAAGAAGATTTCAGATCAAAACTGTGCTGCAATTTGCACAACTTTGTTTATAACGGCTTAAATCGCATTTTTTTATAAAATATCTCCAAATACAGTCTGATATATTAGCCAATTTTTTATGGCAGGTTTATTATCATTTAAAATTGCCATTTTAGCGTATCGCTGGGCGTTGTACTTTTAGAGGTGGACATGTATTTTTGTTTTTAAATTTATTATACAGGTATTCAACCTGATGGTACCTTTTCCAACTAAAATTGGACTTCGTTTCTTGAAATCAAAATTCGTTGTGATCAATTTGGCTTTGATTTTGGTAATCTAAATTCCTTGCGCTTTTCCAAGTGAAATTTGGCTTTACTGCTAATAATCCAAATTTGTTTGCACTCTTCCAAGATAAATTTGACTTCGCTTCTCATAATCCAAATTTGTGGGACTCTTCCAAGTAAAATTTGGCTTCGCTGCCCATAATCCAAATTCGATTGCACTTTTCCAAGTTAAATTTGACTTCACTTTTTGTTATCCAAATTCTATTGCGCTTTTCCATGTAAAACGTGGCTTTGCTTCTACACACATAGAAAATTCATGTAAATTTAGGTGCTCTGAGACTGACTTATACGAGCCTCAATTTTGACAGAAAATTGAGTCATAATAGACGCGAAATTCTGCTCAATCAAACGTACTTTTCGTCGAGTAACGAACTTTTCAGCACTTAATTTTACATGACATGTTTGTTTACGTCTCATCCTTTATGTCAAAGATAGATTCCGTCAAGTGTAAAATTAGGTATTTCTAAGTGTGTAGTAATCCAAATTTGATTTTGCTTTTCCAAGTTAAATTTGACTTCGCTTCTCGTAGTCCAAATTCGATTGCACTCTTCCAAGTTAAATTTGACTTCGATTTCGTAATCCAAATTCGTTGCGCTTTCCCAAGTAAAATTTGGCTTCGTTGCTCATAATCCAAATTCGATTGCACTTTTTCAAATAAAATTTGACTTCGCTTTTCGTAATCCAAATTCGATTGCGCTTTTCCATGTAAAATTTGGCTTTCATTCTGGTAATCTAAATTCAATTGCACTTATCAAAGTAAAATTTGACTCCGTTTCTATAATCCAAATTCGTGACGCTCTTTCAAGTAAAATTTGGCCTCGCTGCCCATAATCCAAATTCGATTGCACTTTTCCAAGTTAAATTAAACTTCACTTTTCATTATCAAATCTTGTCCCACTTTTCCAAGTTAAGTTTGGCTTCGCTGCTCATAACCCAAATTCGATTGCATTTTTCCATGTTAAAATTGGCTTTGCTTCTGGTAATCCAAATCGATTGTGCTTTTCCAAGTAAAATTTGGCTTCGCTTCTCGTAATCCAAATTCGTTGCGCTCTTTGAAGCAAAATTTGACTTCACTTTTCGTAATCCAAATTCGATGAGGTTTTCCAAGTAAAATTTGGCTTCGCTGCTCATAATCCAAATTCGATTGCATTATTCCAAGTTAAAATTGACTACGCTTTTCGTAATCCAAATTCGATTGTGTTTTTCCAAGTAAAATTTGACTTTGCTTCTCGTAGTCCAAATTCGTTGCGCTCTTTGAAGTAAAATTTGACTTCACTTTTCAAAATCCAAATTCTATTGCGCTTTTCCTAGTAAAATTTGCTACGCTGCTCTTAATCCATATTCGATTGCGCTTTTCTATGTTAAATTTGGCTTTGCTTCTGGTAATCCAAATTCTATTGCGCTTTTCAAAGTAAAATTTGGCTTCGTTTTTCGTAATCCAAATTCGATTGCGTTTTTCGAAGTAAAATTTGACATCGCTTTTCGTAATCCAATTTCGATTGCTCTTTTCCAAGTATAATTTGGCTTCGCTGCTCATAATCCAAATGCAATTGCACTATTCCAAGTTAAAATTTACTACACTTTTCATAATCCAAATTCGATTGTGCTTTTCCAAGTAAAATTTGACTGTGCTTCTCGTAGTC